GGCTTGCAATTTTACATTTATATATTCCCAGACTCAACCCTTTATTTCTATATTCTATCCCTGGACTTTTCAATAGCATTATATCAATATCTTGGATGATAACAAAATTGCTATTGAAAATTACAAATGGTAGTGAATGAACAGTCAAGAATAAGAGTATAAAAATGTAGATCCCGAAATAAGAATGTAGAAATAAAGAAATACGAAGTTGTAAGTCTAGGAGAATGAGAGAAGACTGTCAGCAGCTTTCTCAGCAGCTTAAGGATTAACTATTAACAGTGGGTTACTCTGCTTTACAACCCATAGTTCTATTTATAGGCCCAAAGAATCTCTCTTCAAACTGAGAGTTAGCCTACAGATATGAGCTGAGTTAACCTTTAGGGGATACAGATACCTAACCTCTGGGTTATGCATTATCCTTGCTATGGGAAACTGGTAACATCAAAGTGTTTACTGAACACAGGGCTTCAGTAAACACTACCTGAAAGTACCAAGGAAGACAATAGATTATCTACAAGCTGTAAAACTCTTTTAGTGAAGATTGTAAAGCAGGGCAATCTGCATCTGAGTTTTACCATGGGATTATAAAAATTTCTTTGTTCGGACCTATTGCTTGTTGCCCCTTATTATAAAAAGGTGGGTTCAGAAACTGGCCTTTGCCATAGCTTTACAAAATCCATCTCCGGCTGTAATCTCAGCTAGCTGATAAGCATTTTGTGCCCCATACAGATATTTTTTTTGTTTTAGTTTTTTTTTTTCTGGTTCTGGTATTGTTTCCTGGAATAAAGTTTGCTTCTTGTTTAAGAGATTTTGATGATCTGTCCCTATTTTAAATGACCATTGCGGGCCGAGCACATGCTGATAATGATTCAAGTAGGTGTTATTAGAATATAAAAATGAACTAACATTAAAACAAGTTTAAAAGTGCTATACAGTTTCCTGTGGCCGTCAGGATAAAAAGGTAACGAACAGATAAGCTATTCTTCAGAATTCTACAGTCTATGAGGGCAGAGGTAGGCAAATAAGACACAGGAGTACAGAAGGTATTTAGAGAGGTCCTAAAGGACCACAGCCTCTAGGACACTAGTCGTTACTCAGGGAATGATATCAACAAAGGCATTTTAGAGTAAGATAACAAAAAAAAAAAAAAAAAAAAAAACCTTTCTTTTTGGCCTGAGTATCACATGACATGACTGATACAGAAAGAAAAAAAAATTGAGTATGCTCATAGGGTTAAGTCCAATCTTCCTGTAATCTTTACTGCTATCTCTTTACTCAATTTAATATAAATTTGTTGTCATTGTTGTTAAAAATGAGATTTGTGTTATATCCAATAATTTTTTAACAAAATTTTTGTAAGAAATAAAAATCAATACGACGAAGCAATATAGGCCTTGCAAATTAAGCACCATCTTAAACCACAAAAAAGGAAGATTGTGAGTGAGTGGGACTTGTCTCTTAAAGGGACAGGGTACTCAGGTAACAAGCAGGGCCAGCAGATTATAATAAAATTATTAAATCTCAGACTATTATTATTTGGAGTTTGATGTGTGATTTAAGCTTTAGTAATATTTTTTGTTTGTTTTTGCTTTTCTTTTTATATAATTGTGAGCGCCTTTACATTTGAGGCAAAGATGTTCAGCATTGAGTTGTAATCTTGTTGGATTTTTATTTCCTATGAAAATACTTTGGTTTGATTTATTGATTTAGATTAGAAGTCTGTTTTGTTAGATGTTAGAAAGGCTACACCACCTTGATTCTTGGAACCCTTGGTTGAAAAATCTTTGCCCAATCCTTTATTTACTATGAGGTAATAACTGCCTTTGATGTTAAGATTAATTTTCTGTATGCAGCAGAAGGTGGATTTTGTTTTTGAAACCATTTTGTTAGCCTGTGCATTTTTATAGGTGACCTCTTTATTGAGTTCATTCATTTTCAGACAGACTAATGACAAGTCATTGTTATTTCCTATTATTTTATTGCTGCTGGTGGTGGTAGTGTGTGTATGTGTGTGTGTGCATGTGTGTGTGTGTTTGCATGTGTGTGTGTGTTTGCATGTGACTGTTTCTTTTATTTTTGCTGATGTGAGATTATGTATCTTCTGATTTTATGGATGCACTTAGCCTCCTTGGGATGAAGTTTTCCTTCTATTGCTTTCTGTGTAGCTGGATTTGTTGATAGATACTGTTTAGCTGCATATAGTAGTGTGAGCTGGACTTTTATGTCACAAAATCTTTATTTTCAACATTTTCTTTGACACAGGTATCAGCATCTTATATCTTCTCTTCTATGTCTGACATTCTAAATTCCATCTCTTGTATTCTGTTGGTGACGCATGACTCTCTATTCCCTGTTTGCTTACCTAGAATTTTCCATCTATTGGATTCCCTCACTTTGCATTTTTTATTGCTTTTATTTCATTTTTTAAATCTTGAACTCTTTTTTTCATTTCTTTTACTGTTTGACTTCTTTTGGCTTTTTAGACTTTCCTTAAAAGATTTATCCATTTCCCCCTCACTGTTTTCTGTGTTTTCTTGGATATCTTTAAGTGATTTTAATGATTTCCTCTGATTATTTGCTTATATTTTGCTGAATTTCCTTTAAAAAGTTATTAATTTCCCATGGGAAATTCAGCAAAATATAAGCAAATAATCAAAGTAAGCAAAGTCTTGGTGCCCTAAAAAAAATCTCATTTCTAAATTTCTGGAAACTGTGACTATGTTATATTTTACGCTGAAGGGGACTTTGTAATTGTCAGTTAGATAAAGATTACAAACTGGACACTATTCAGGATTGTCCAGGTTACACTAGTGCAATGGTCTCCCGTTGTATCTATTTTCTAGAAAATGACATAATTTCATTCTGCTTTCTCGTTAAATAAAATTTCTTTGTGCACACAAAAAAAGTTATTTATTTTGTTGATAAGGACCTCAGTCATCTTCATTCATTTGGATTTGAGATTGTGTATGTGTTACTGTGTGTGTGTGCTCACACACCCCTACACATTTGTGAGTGCTTTGGCTGTTTTGAGTTATTTGGGGATTGTTGTATTAGGATAGCTGGAATCTGCTGGTAAATATGTTGCTGCAGTTGTTGTTGATTGTGTTCTCAATCTGACCTCTGTTAGGTTTGTGATAACCACAGTTTTAGATGCTGATTTCGGAGTTCATCTTTTTGGAATAGTGTTTAATGATGCTTTGTTTCTGATTCCTCTCTTCTTCTGGACTGGGTATCCTGTGGTTCCAGTGACTGACAAGTTCTCTGCACCAATAGGGAACATTTATTGTGGTTTTGACAGTCTGCATAATCTCTGGGGTTTGTGGTGCAAGGACTGACTATAAGATTCTGGGGTTCTGAGTACTCCTGAGGCTTCTGGTAAATAAGGGGATTTCAGAGTTCTGGGTACCAGATCAGCCTCTGAGGTTCCAGGTATCTGTAAAGCCTTTGGTAGATCAGGGCCTTCTACCAGAGTTTGGGACTAGAATATAGTGACAAGGAAAAGGAATTAATGTTTGAGGAATCCTGGGCAGTCTCTGAGGAGTTTTGGCATGTTGTGTGGGCCATGTTTAACTAAAGTTACACACACACTCAAAAATATGTGCATGCCCCTCTGAAAACATTATAAGCTATTGTTGATGACCTTAATTGCCTCACAGAAATCTAAGGTAAATCTCTATTGCTGAAGACACACATGATTCTGACATAGAACTTACACTTGGATGAGTAGAGCTCTATTGTGTCTAGAACCCAACTCCATGAGGACAAGCTTTAATAGTATGAAAAAGTGGTATATAACTGTCATGTTGCCAATTGAGTAAAACCATTAATAGTTCAACCCAGCTATGACACTTAGAAACCACAGTAATAACCAGAAAAGCAAGCTGTACATAAAGGTGCAATAGTAGCAATGACATCATGACAGTAATCAATATCTATGAAGTTGCACTTAAGGTCCACTCAGTGGGGGAGCTTCATCCTGGTTCTATAAGCACAGTCACTTATGGGTTGCTGACAAAGTCATGGAACATAGAAGAGAATCTAATAGTGGCATTTTCCTAACATAGTATCATCTCTAACTGCATACTTAGTACTGATTGTCTCACCCACAGGTAAGCGAAACTCTTCCTACAGAAGATGGAAACCATTACAGAAATCCATAGCTGGTCTAATAGAGGGAACAACTGATGCTGGAGAGAAGAGCCACAGTGGATCCATCTAGAACACAACGCCTTCAGCTAAGACTCGGGGAACATTAGGAGGAAAAGAAAGAATGTTCTAAGTTCTAACAGTCAGAGGACAAGTAAGGATGTGGTGAGACTGTGTTTTCTATGAATGACAGAAAAATGGCACCATGATTCTCAACAATATAGTTTGCCAAGTAATAGCCGAAATTCATATTAGTTGGCACTAATATGTACAATGTACACGATGAAAAATCTCAGGGACTTTAATCCTAGATGAAAGCTATAGACAATTATTGATGACTAAGAACAGAATCGGTCTTCTTTGGAAAAACCACCTAATAAATATGATTAACACACACAAAAACACACACACGAATTCTAGGTAAGGATGTCATTAATTTGATAGAGAACAGGAAGTCACAAGAGTGCTTAGAGGGAGATGGGTGAAAGATGTAATTACAGCACTTACATATGAAATTTACAAAACTGAATTAAAAATAAAAAATGTATCAGGTTTTGGAATTGAGAATGAAGTTTAATATTTTTAAAGTAATATTTATCAAAAACAAAAATTAGATAGCATGATGGGCTAAAAATTATAGGCATATGAATTTATGTAATCTTTTAATATTGGTTTACATTATTTAATCTATAAAACAAGAGCAATAATATATGTATATAAAATTGAATTTGAAATTTATATTTATAAAACTTCTCAAAGTATTCTAGAAAATGAGTAATAATTCTTGCAACTACAATAAAACAAATCAATTCAAACTTTGTATTTGTTGATAAGTTTTATCTAATAAATAATCCTCACATTACTAATGAAACATGAATTTTTTTTCTTTGAAGTATTTTTTTCAAGGCAACACTGACATCCTTATTTCTCAGGCTGTAGATCAATGGGTTCAGCATGGGAACAACAATAGTATAAAACACGGATGACACTTTCCCTTGGTCCATGGAATTTACTGATGATGGCTGTAAGTACATGAATGCAGCAGAACCAAAGTAGACAGCAACAGCAGAGATGTGGGAACTACAGGTGCTGAAGGCTTTGGACCTGCCTTCTTTGGATTTAATCCTGAGGATGCTAGCAATAATGGAGATGTAGGAAGTAATAATGGTGAGAATTGGGACAAAAATGTTAAATGTACCAAAAATTAGAATCAACAATTCATTGATATAGGTATTAGAGCATGAAAGCTTCAAGAGGGGAAGAAAATCACAGAAATAGTGGTTGATTGTATCTAATTTGCAAAAACAAATCCTTACCATGAAGCCCGTGAGAACTAATGCACTGAGCACACTAAAAATATACACTCCTAAAATCAGGGAACTGGTAATCTGATGGGACATGGTTATACTGTAAAGCAAGGGGTGACGGATGGCCACATAGCGGTCATATGCCATTACACCTAGTGTGTGACACTCTGCAGCACCAAAAATGATAAAGAAATAGAGCTGAGTCATGCATCCAGAGTAGGATATAGGATTCTTCTCTCTCACAAAGCTCACCAGCATTTTAGGAGTCACAAGAGTGGACTGACAGAAGTCAACGAAGGACAGACTGCTGAGGAAATAATACATGGGGTTGTGCAGGTGGGAACTGAGCCCAATCAGTGTGATCATGCCCAGATTCCCTGCTACAGTGAACACATAGATTCCAATGAAGAGGAGGAAGAGGGGCATCTGGAGTTCTGGTTGCTCTGAGAGCCCAGCCAAGAAGAATTCAGTCACTGTGCAATGGTTTCTTGCGACCATATTCTTCATTCAGATCCTGAAAGAGTAAAAGAATTGCTTGAATCAGGTCGTGCTACCTTAAGTTTTTAAACCAAGCACTAGGTAGGCAGAAGCAGGCAAACTTCTGTTAGTTCAAGGCCAGCCTGTTCAACAGAGCTAGCTGTAGGAGAAGCAAGGCTGTATAAAGTAATAATGTCCAAAATAACACAAGAATATGCATATATGTATACATAATGTCAACATATAAATTATTTCTACCTAAGTATACTTTTGCTCTCTATATAATTACCTTAATTTATCATTTAGACTTCATCTTTTATTATTAATTATAGCCTTATCCTTTGAAAATTAAGAATAGCTTTCATATAAAGTATTTTCACCATGTTTAAACCTTGATAATATTGTAATTTCAAATCAATGTCTTATAACCGAGAATGAGAGTATCAGTGAGGAAAAGTGACAAACACTCTTGAGGAAGCAAATTTCCCTAAAGACAGTGAGTTATTATCCAAAATCTAATATCATCAGAGGATAGACGGAGCTCTTTTTAAAAAAATCTCCATTGTTTTTTAATTTTTAAGACACTTAAAGTATTAAAATTTCCATATGTGAAAATGAAATGGCATCTGGAGCAACAGTTACATGAGGTATTGGGTACACGGTGCTCCTAGGATTATGTACTAGATACATGGTGCTCCTGGGATTATGTACTAGATGCATGGTGCTTTTAGGATTACATACTAGATGTACGGTGCTCCTAGGATTATGTACTAGATGCATGGTGCTCCTACGATTACGTACTAGATGCATGGTCCATTGAAAATATTTCATGTATTGTTCATCATTCCATAGATGTTATAAATTGACAAGTTTTGTGTTTTTGTAAGGTTTTCTTATCTTGAAATGTGTCATGTTATCATCATATTTATTGAATGTTCTCTGAAATTATAAAATTGAGCATTGCAGGGATTGTTGTCTAAGTTTTTTCTAAATGTTTTATTTGTTTATCAAGAATTTTTTATAATACGTTTAGATCGTTGAAATCATCAAAGATCCAGTCCCTTTTATGTCTTCCTTTATCCATAATGCCTAGTTTGTACTGCCTAGTATTGTTAGAAATGTGTTGTTCCACAGGTGTATGATTGACTTACTAGGGGCAACATTTTTCAAGTAAATGTGTCTCCCTCTATGAGATGCCATCAATTTACAGTGACTTCTCAGACAGAGAAGGAACTTCACACCCACCTCCCAATTTAATGAAGAGATTTGGTCTGGATTGAGTTTGCACAGGCTTGCATGTTATGGCAGCACTATGCATTCATAAGTGCACCTATCTTATTGTGTCTGGAGGACATTGTTCCTTTCTATCCATCCATCATCTTAGGTTAATTGATTCCCTCTTTTCGAGTTCTTAGTCAGAATGGTACCACCAACCTCTAAGAAAAGACACAGATGCTTCTCAATAAATTGGTTACATTCTAGAGCACAAAGGAAAAACATTGGTGCTGAAGGAACCCTGTACTTGGCGACAGAGAATAGAGATATCAGGATGTTACTGGCCTGGAAGTTTCATTCCTAAATACTAGCTTTTATAATGTTGGAAGCTACTTTGGGGAATATTGGAGAAGAAAAACACTTAACAGTCCCAACCAGCTGAGAACCCTGTGAGCCATAATAACTTCTGACAGACAGCATTCTCATTGCCACAATGGTAACATGAACATCATGGGAGTATTGAACCATTTTCTGCTCCACAAGATGAAACCCATCCTTGACACCACTGTTAAGTGTGTCAGATTTCACAAATTGACAGTAGTGAATTTGGAAGCTTTCCAATTTCATTAATCAAAAATTATTTTACATAGCTATGCTGATATTCCAAGTTATATTTTTGTATTTTATGTTATGTAAATTATTTTTATTTCTGATTCTTTAATATAGCTTCTGATTTTCAAACTTTTCAAAAATATAAGTAAAACTTCATTTATTTATTTATTTATTTATTTTAATTATTTATTAAAGATTTCTGCCTCCTCCCTGCCACCGCCTCCCATTTCCCTCCCCTCCTCCAATCAAGTCTCCCTCCCTTGTCAGCCCAAAGAGCAATCAGGGTTACCTGCCCTGTGGGAAGTCCAAGGACCACCCACCTCCATCCAGGTCTAGTAAGGTGAGCATCCAAACTGCCTATGCTCCCACAAAGCCAGTACGTCCAGTAGGCATCTTAAACACCATACTTCCCCCAAATAACACACCGCCTATTTTTCAGCCTTGCACGTCTGTACTTTGGGTGTTTATTTTTTAAATTATTTTGTTCAGATATTACATAGTCACAATGTTTTTTGATGCTGTTCTAATACATATTGAGCACAGAACAGTAGTGTCTGCACTAAAAATTCTAATCATCTTTTTCTTTCTTTAATTTTTCAGACTTGAATCACCCCATGTATCACTAAGCTGCGATGTATTTTCTTTTTGTTTTTACACCGTTTGGAGATGCTTTGTCTGATATTGGCACATCACCAAAAGCTTTACATTTGCTAGTCTTCATAGGTCAAATGGTTAACTCTGTATTTCTGTTTAAGTATATGTATCCTTATAAGAAAGTTGCAATTGAATTTTTAATGAAAAAAATAAATCCAAATGACATTAAATATATATACATGTTAACACCAAATATCTAGAAATAAATCTAATAAAAACACAAGCAATCCTCACATACTGTATCTTTTAAATATTCCTGAGAGTTCTTGAAGAAAATTTTGATAAAGCAGAACGCCATAGAAATGTTTTTTTAACATTTAATATGGTAATGAAATCAATTCTCACAGACATGTGAAAAAGTTAGTAACCTTTTTAGTAGATTTCAATATTAAATTTGCTCTACTCAATCTTATGGTGTCTTAAATGCTAACCATTTAAGTCATCACAGTGGTGTAGCAAGTGTATTTACTGTGTGAGTTATCTTGCCTGTCTGTAAGTGTCTTAATATCTAAGAGTAATGTATGCAGTAACTTTTTAATCAAATGTGAAACACATACGAAGATGAGGCATTTAATTTTTTTATTTTCTAATGCTATTATCTATGAAACTTGTGTAAGATGATTACAGCATTAATATTAATGCACCAATGGAAAATACAAACATGTTGATGAGCATAAGCAAAACTTGTTGCATTTTATGTTTAAACACTTAGCCTCATTCCCAAGAGAAAAATAGAATCTCTGCAGAAGAGCTCCAGTTTAATCTCTAGCTCTTCTCAAGCTTATCTACACAACAGTAAATAATTTGTTCCTATTGTATTTCTAGAATTATTGATTATGAATATTATACAATTGTCCACATTTTCTACTAATTTGCATTAAACACGTCACTGCCATAACCTCCTCTCTCATTACTGTCTTTGGAAATTGTGTCATATTGTAGATAGACTAGTAGCTTAAACAAACATTATTATGTTCACAAAAGTTTTATTTATCTCTTAATATTCATTGAGTTCTTAATGCTATGCCAAACATCTTCAATATAAATCTCTTGGAGTAGCATGTAAAGATTTAAACTGCCTAAAAAATAAAAATGAAACTTTAAAGAATAAAAAAGCAAACATTTGTAAACATTATATACATAAATATAAATCTCGTTAGATAGCATTCTTATTCTAAAAAATAACAATGAAATTCTAAAAGGAATAATGGAATTAAAGTATTTTTGTATTTGTGAGCCATTAGATCAAGTGAAATGAATGCAATGCTATGCTTCAAAGACAGAGTCTGACATATTTCTTCCTGCCCCCCTTACTGCAGCAGTAAAGGGTAAGTGACATCTACGCTGCTTAAAGAATTCACAACCTAAATCTGTGATATTAGCATATACTAGTTAGGGTTTGATTCAATATGTAATAAAATTTACAGATAAAAGAAACTTGGGAAGAAAAGGCAATAAATTTTGTAATTGGTTATCACTGCAAACTGACAGTCTTACACATGAAGTACAAAAGTATACCAATTTTATGTTACACAATAAGAAAACTTTGATCATAAAATTTTAAATTACATCACCTCTGTTTAGTTAAAAATATGATGCCTATTATTTTGATATTTTGTAATATGATAAAATATATCTGCTATCTAATTATTCAAATGTGTATAGATTCAATATGGTTCTCTAAATATTACTTTGACTGTAAAACACATTATGGTCCCTAGTAACAATAAAGGTGAACTAAAAATACAAAACATGTTATAATTAAACATAGTTGTTTCAAATTCGTTACCTAAACAAAGATGGTTTAGAGTGGCTATAAATTCTGTATTGTAGGTAAGAAGGTCTAATCTTATCATTGAAGAGAATCTCTTGAGTTAAAGTCAGAATAGTTGAAATCACAGATTGAGAGGGTGTTATGAAGTATAACACTTTTTCCTTTTTAAGTTAAACTTGAACCAAATATCACCCATTTCCGGGTAATACAAAAATATACACAGAAAACTAACAACAAAAAAGAAATATATACACAGACTAAGAAAATTCTTAAAAATTTTCTGACTAAATTAGGAATATATAAATTATGGGGTAAAAATTTTATTCATATCCAAAATAAATGATTTGATGCAATCCACATGAAAACATCAAGGCATAAATCCTTACTGGGTAAGGGAAGTCCAGTTATCTCTGTATTATGAATAAGGAAATTGACATCTGAGACATCATTTATATATATGTAGTGGCTAGAATATAAATAATCCAAATAAGATATGCAATACACATTCAAATTCAAAGACATGCAATCAGAAAATCAGGAGAGAGTTAGTACATGCTTAGGTATTGAGTTTTTTTGCTTTGTTCTGGTGGTTTTCTTTAAGCCTATTATTTACTATCAGAAACAACAGTCCTCTTCTACTAATCCAATTATGTTGCATTGATAATTCTTCAGTTATCACTGTGTCCTAGAAATTGCAGTCACTGCTATGCATGGATACATAGCCTGTGTGTTGTGAAGCCAATGATAGATGTCCCCTTTTAAAGAGAGACATTGA